ACTATCTACCATCTAGATTTACAAATATTGACATTTATCAAATGAAATTCTTTACACATACAATTTCTAGAGTGGTAGACTAACATTACAATTTATTTTATTGGTTGGTTGTTATTGTTTGTTGTTGTTGGTGGTGGAGACCTATTCTTTTTATCCATTAATTAATAAGTAGTTTGGGTGAATCTTCTATGTACCAAGCATGGTTCTGGGTTCCTGGAGACACCAAAATGAGTAATTTGGGTTCTTGTTCTTAAGAGGCTCAGAGTCTAATACATAAGAAAGACATATAGATAGTAGTTTAATGCAGTAGCTTGACAAGAACTCTATTAGATTTACCTGTGTGGACTAATTTTCAAGAAGGTGGTTATATCTTCTCCAAGGTTCTCCATAAGGTGTCTAAAGCTTGAAAGTCCACTACTCTCTCTCTTTGGTTTAAGGCTAGTAGAGTGTTATAGAAATGAACACTTTACTAGTAGTCAGAAAATTTGTGCTTGAGTTATAGTTCTGTCACTTACTAGCTCCAGGATTTTGGACTAGTCTCTCATTTACTAAACTTCATTTTTTCAACTATAAATTAGGATTGGTAGCCACCTTACACACTATCATGAAGATCAGATGAGATTATAAGAAAGTGGTCTGTGATCTGTTGCAGACCTTCTACAATTAAGCCTTTTGTTTATCAAGTATTACTGTTGAAGACCAATGCAATAATCAATTCATTCAGTATTTACTAGCTCATGGTTTTGCTGCTGGGAAGATATGCCCGAGAAAGTGTTCAGTGTTTGGTAGTGGGCAGATTGATATGTACATATTCACATTCTTCCTGAGCACAGTGAAGTGAATGAAAGGTAATAAGGGTAGTGAGTATCACAGAAATGGAAAAGAAAGCAGGATTAAAGCTAGTTGGGACAGAACAAGCTACTAAGGTCAGACTTCTCATCCACAATTTACCAGAGTTCTCCTCCTCATCAAAATGATTTATCAAAAGCTAAATGAGATAGATATATTCAGTGGTGTGCTGGTAAATGTTTACAGTTCTCTGGGGGAAAAATGATAGCTAGCATTTACTGATTTCTGAAGTGTAAATTCTTCTACCATGGCCAGTATTAAGTTACCAACATGATATCCCTGAAGAGAGAGTTAGGAAGAGATGTGCAGTAGCATACCCTATGCTATTTTCATCATGCTGATATAATAGACATAAATAAATTCAAGTATAGACAAGAACGAACAAAATAATTAGGAAGTGATGAGTTTTGAGTAGTAATTTATTTAAATGCAACTTAATCTGATTTAATTTTAAATAATGGCTGGGTTTAATGCCAGCTTGCAAAATTCCCCCAAATTTAACAATCAGTTATCATGAGCCACTGGAATATACTGGTAATTGTGCTAGTATAGTACTAGTTATGTAAAAAATTATCACCTCTTCTGGGGACTCTATCTGTGCTAGGTGACTTTCTCCATATTCTTATAATTTTCTCGATATCAAAGCAATTACCACATTGTGTTTAAATTTCATTTCTACACTTGAGTTCCCTAAGTCCAGTGTCCATGACTTTTAACTCTGTATCTTCTGTATCTAGCACTATGCTTGGGACATGTAGTGCTAAAAATATGTATATTGAAAAGATAAATTTACCTGGACCTGGCTTCTGTCCTCTAGGATCATACAATAATGCTATGATATACAAAGACACATAGGCACAGAATTCACAGTATAACAGAAACTCTGAATTAACACATGAGTGGATGATAAGGTTTTTATGCTACCTACAGTGGCTTTTATTGGGATGGAGAAAAAGGGTGTAGAGATCATTGAAAGTAGAGGCAGTAGTTCATCTACTTCTACAGTGATAAAAAAACACACAAACACCATCATTCCTGATCTCACCTGTTTAATGATGTTCTTTTAACGTTCACATCTTTAAGAGGTAAAAGCAACACATTATAGAAACACTAGCATATACAGAAGCATAAAGAAACAAAAGCCACCTATATTTTACAAGTTTGATGTATTAATGAGGATAGGTTAAGACAATAGCATCCAGAAACCACCAAATAACAATGCCTTCAACAACATGTTTTATTTCTTCTTCAAGTAAAAGTTTGGAGTTTTGCCGGGTTGGTTGGTGTGGTAGTTTTGCTCGCCATGTCTTTATTTATTTATTTATTTATTTTTTTGAGTTGGAGTCTCACTCTGTCACCCAGACTGCAGTGCAGTGGCCGCTCCCGGCCACCGCAGCCTCGACCTGCCAGCCTTCCAAGTAGCTGGAACTATAGGCGTGCGCTACCACGCCCGGCTAATTTTTTGATTTATTGTAGAGATGAGGTCTCGCCAAGTTGCCCAGGCGGGTCTCGAACCCGCGGGTTTAGGCAATCCCCTCACCTCAGCCTCCCAAAGGCGAGGGATTACAGGCTGAGCCACCGAGCCCGGCTATGCCATGTCTTTAAAGGCTCAATTTCTCTCAAGCTCATGGCCTGGCTGTTCTGATAGTGTAGCCTCATTCTTCGTGGTCCAAGTCAGCATCCACTATCCTGGACAAAGGATGAAGAAGAGGCACAGGGCTGGTCATCTCTTTAACAAAGGTTCCCAGAACTTGCCCTGTGGCCCATTCATGACATCCCCTTTGTTAGAATGTAGTCACAAGACTATGTTTAACTGTAATGGAGCCTGGGAAATGCAATCTTTATTCTCAGCAGTCATGTGCTCAGCAAAAATCTCTATTACCATGACAGAGGGGGAAACAGTCTTTTAGTTTCAACTGTCAGAATTTGCAAGTTACTTCCTTAGTTAAGTTGCAAGTAGAGGAACTGCTAGGTTAGAAGTTGTGCCTATTTTCAAGGTTTTTGATGCATATTGATAAACTTCCCTTCAGAAGTTCTGAACATGTTTACACTCTCAATGACTTAAGAATATTTAGTACTAAACATCAACACAGTGATCAGTTCATTCAATGTTTACCACATGGTTTTTCTGTATTAAGATGTGGTGGAGAAAGTGCTCAGTGTTTGATGGGCAAAGTTTTACTGACAGGACTTCAGCTACAAGGGACAGACAGCTTGCCAAGAGTGTTGAGTTTATTCAGATATTGAGGTGATTTCATAAATTAAGAAAAAAATGACTGTAGAGTATATATCAGTCTGGAGTTGGAAGAATGGGAAAGGAGGATTATATAGGTAGTTGTAAACATTCTGAGGGTTAGAGAAAGGATCAAATATAATGTGATATCCTCTTAATGTCAGTGGAGGAGCTTTTGCACATTTAAAAATTTTAAATAAATGATTACATTCCAGGCAATGACCTAGTGCTTTAAATATATCCTCTCTCTGATTTTCATACAGTTGTCTGGGTAGGCATATATTTTTATGTGTCCATATTTTACACATGATGAAGTCAAAGCTCAGGAGAGGTCAGTTTAGGAGTGAAGCTAGAATTTAAATTCCAGACTGTCTGATTTCAAAGTTTTGTTCTTTCTCCTTTTTTTTTTTTTGAGTCAGAGTCTCACTCTATTGCCCAAGCTGGGGTGTGGTGGGTGTGGTGGCACACTCACTACCGCGACCTTCACCTGCTGGGCTCAGGTGATCCTTCTACCCCATTCTTCCAAGTAGCTGGAACTACAGACACGTGCCACCATACCCAGATAATTTTTTTATTTATTGTTGAGACAAGGTCTCGCCAAGCTGCCCAAACTGGTCCTGAGCCCTTGGGCTCAGGCACTCCTTTTGCCTCAGCCTCCCAAAGTGCTGGGATTACAGGCATGGGTCACTGTACCCAGTGTTCTCCTTCTATTCTTAAGAATGAACATATAAAAACAAGTTTGGCAAGAAGTTCACTTTTGCTGTAACATTTGGACTCACTGAAGGATATAAAAAGACATTATGAATCTTAAGAAATCTTAAAAAATTTATAAAGAAAAACAAATGAAGGAAAAGGGAGGAAGGACTTCATGGGATTTTTGTCTCTTCTAGGGGCCCTTTTCTGACCTGGGCTGGCTGCCTGCCTCTTGTTTTTCATAATATCCTGTGTTCATCTTAAGACTGTTCTCATCTTTATTGCGCTTGTCTATTTGCCTTGTTGTCTCTGCTGCCAAACTTATACCTTGCGCCAGGTATCAGGCCTTACACATCTTTGTACTGCCAGGGCCCAGCACAATATCTGGAACATTTTGGGTGCCCATTAAATGTTTGCTGAATAAATTATAGTCACTTTATAGTCATATGTATTTCACTAAAGAGAAATTTTATCAATTTACTATGATGCCACATTTTAAGAGACGTATAATGATAACTAGACTAGTATAAAATTATGATTCTGACCATGACTATAAAGAGCATATTTATAAGGAAACTGAATCTGTGAATAATATGGAATGCCTATAACATGCTAGGCTTTGTTTGAGTGTTTAACATTTTATTATTCAATTTTCACAAAAACTTTATGAAGTGAATAAGATTATTATTTCTAGTTCAAAAATGGAGAAAATGGAAAAAATCAAGATATGGACCCAGGTAGTACAGCTCTAAAATTTTTGTGTTTAACAACCCAGCTATTTTATGTCACCATTGCTGATTAGTTGCTTTTTAGATTTTTCTTTTTTTTCCTGCATCACTCCATAGTAGCATCTTCTAATGAAAACACTTAGATCCCTTTCCTGTTGCTTTGTCTGTCGACCGGAACTTCCTTTCTGCCAAAGGAACAGACTCTCCAAGAGGAACCCTAAGTGTCTTGGCCAATTGCTGCCTTTATACCTGAGCAACTCCAAGCCGATAAGTAATTTGCTATCACCATTTTTCCTTACTCGCCTCGATAGCCAGGGACTCATATGTTTCATTTTCTTCCCCCCCTTCAAAAATTCAATTGCATCTCCCAGCTGCTTTCCGTGCTCCGGTGGCTTTCGGGCGCGCAGACACCCGCGTCTTTGCAGACTCGGCCCGCTTCTCGCCGGCGAAACTACACTTCCCAGCGGCCCCGGGAGGATCCCGGAAAACCTGGAGACGCTCTGCGGGGCGTGGTGGGTGGGACAGGCACTGGGCGGACTGGCGAGGCCCTCCCGCACTTATGCACCCCGAAATGGCTCAGAGGCAGGACGATCAGAGAGGGGGCGCGCCCTTGAGCGCGGAGGGCAGGTCGGATGCGGAGGTTAAGCTCATTCTGTACCACTGGACGCATTCCTTCAGCTCTCAAAAGGTAAAGGCCTCGGCGGCGGAGGGCGGCGCGGATCGGGTTTCAGCACCGGGACAGCTCCCTCCGGGTCCCGCCCTGGCCGCCGGCCCACCCAGAAACCCGCCTCTGGCATCCCAACCCTGGCGGGCCCTCCCTCCAGGGCAGGAAGGCGCCATGGTGGGGGGCGGGGAGAATCAGTCTGAGACCGAGGGCACTGCCCCGCATGAGACACCAGTTTCAGGATCGGGCTTGAAGGCCTTGCCCACTGGGCCCTTGGAGGGTGAGGGGCAGAGGAAAGCACCATCGTGCGTCTAGGTTACTTCTTTTGCTCTTTCTTGCCTTCTCTGTCTTCAGCGAGGCCTACCATATCTATATTTCAGGTTCTCGTCTGGGAAGGACGCATAATTATGTTTAGGACACCAAGAAAGTGGTGACGATGAGGAGGTTGACTGTATAATACATGTAACCAGAATCCTTCTCATTGCTTATTGTGTTTCCTTCTCTAATTTATGAGAACAGGACACTAGAATACTGTCCTATGCCCACCTGTTAATTCCAGGAATAGGGATCGTTGAAAAGACAGTTGAAAGTGTTAGTGACTCAGGAAAGTCCAAGAAGTCTGCTTGGCAGTATCCAGGGAAGTCACTTAATGGAAAGCTTCCATTGTGTTGTGGTAACCAGTGTGAACTCTTCCAGGTGCGCTTGGTAATTGCTGAAAAGGCATTGAAGTGCGAGGAACATGATGTAAGTCTGCCCCTGAGTGAGCACAATGAGCCTTGGTTTATGCGTTTGAACTCAACTGGAGAAGTGCCTGTCCTTATCCACGGGGAAAACATAATTTGTGAGGCCACTCAGATCATTGATTATCTTGAACAGACTTTCCTGGATGGTAATGTTAAGGCTATTTGCGATTTTTTGGATTTCCTTTCAACACAAATATGTCTCTCTCTCTCTCTCTCTCTCAATCTCTCTCTCTCTCTCTCTCTCTCTCTCTCGTTCATGATGGTGATTTAGTGATTAAAAACCTTTTCCATTTCCATAAGCAAACCAATATAAAATAGGTTAATAGCAAATTTTGTATAAGCCAGTGTAACTCCATTTAAAAGAATTTCATATAGAGTACACAAATGCTAATGCTGAACTTTTCTTTTGAATTCACTTGCAAAAAAATCCCTGCTGGCGTGTGGTTTGTATTAATTTATTAGCCTTAAAGTCCGATTCATAATATTCGCTCTAAATGTAAACTATGACAATTTCATCTAATATGTCAAATGATTCCATCTTAAAGGAAAAAAAGAGGAATATATCCTAGTCAAAGGAGAACAGAATGTTAGTATGCTTTGAGTTTTTTGTCCCAATTAACTTCTGAATAGTTTGAATGTTATATCTTTACTGAGGAATTGTTATAGCATGTAACTTCATATAGTGGTTTTAAATAATAATAATTTATTGACAGTTTATTATGTATCAGGCATTCTATAATTTCTATTCAGTCTTCAAAAGAACCTATCTGAAACTAGTTATTACCATTTTATACATGAAAGAGAAACAGAGGGTTGCCCAAGGTAATTTAGTAGTTTTATGGCAGAGTCTTGGGTCTCCAAACCTTCGTACTACACTGGCTGTCTCCCATAGTCTACAACTTACACAATGTCTTGTTTGGTTCTAATGACAGTCCTTTGACATGAACTGTAGCTTCAGTGATTTGCCCAAGATTACACAGCAAATCATTGGCAGAGCTGAGAGCAGAACCCGGGGCTCAGAGCATTTAGCTAAGTACTCTTCTAAAAGAGCCACATGAAATCTGGTAACCTCTCATTTGTCACCAGTTATGTTGATGTTATTGGGTAAAATGAAACCAGAATCTAGCCCCAAATTACAGGAAACTGAGAAAGGAAATTACTAGAACAACAACAACAACAACAACAAATTCCTCAGGTACTTAGAAGGAAAATGAGTATGAGACCTAAGTAGAGGTAAGTGGAAGCCCAGGGAATTAGATTAGCAATGGGCTACCCCTATTCTTAGTCCAAATGTGAGTTTCTCAGGATTGAGACTTAAGGTTTCAATGAACGATAGTGGTCTAAACCCAAGAGTTAATCAACTACTTTCTCTTCACTGTTACTTGCTATATTTATATGTTGGGGACCGTAATGAAAGTGGTGATGAATTCAAGACAATTTTTCTCAATCTTGAGCTTTTTGGAAATGGATAAGTCTGTTAATAATAATTTGTATTTCTTGGGAAAAGTGATTATAATGTGAACAAAATATCTGTGTAAGAATTCTATTTTACATAACCCAAAGCTGGCTGCTGGCATGTTTCCTGCCTTTGAGTCCCTTCCCTGCCTTGGGAAGGTGAATCTCCTCTCTTTCTCTCTCTAATTTACTTTTAAATAAGCTATAGTTTCTAATCTAAATAAATAAATAAATGACCAAAATGTGTAATAAATGGGAAATCATATTTGAATCTTTTGTCAGCATTGCTTGAATTACTACTCATATCATCTTTCCTCTTCTCCTCCTCTTCTGCCTTCTTCTTTTCTCCTTCCCCTTACACTGTTTTTCTTCTAAGAAATTCAGTAATATAAAATATGATCTTTTACAACATAGTAATGTTACTGATTTTGGGGCTGATTGGTTCTTGAATTTTTCCTTAGACTTTCACTATTGCTTTTATTATATAGTAATAATGAAACTGAAATACATTTTGAGTCTTGCTAAGTTACATTTGAATAACCAAAAAGGAAAATACTAAGTTGTTCTTTTGATTAGTATTTGTTGAATTAGAGGGAAAGTCATTGTAAACCAAACGACAGGATGGAAATATAGAATCTGCAGATTTTAATTCTGATTTCACTGTTATAATAAGTAATCCAGAGTTCTAGCTTTTAGTCTGATGCTGCCACAAACTTGTTGAATATCTTTGATGACTTGATTTTTCTGTTTGCCTTTTGCATTAGATGATCTGTTTTATCAGTTGCAGAGATAAAACAAGTTTTATCTTTTCTCTTTCCAGGAGAACAGCCATTCATTTGGAATGAATTAAAAAAAGATTAAAAGGAACCTAAAATGTATGGTAGATATAAAGACAGCATGAGAACAATAGTTATATACGTCAAAGCTATGTCAGTCTACAGATTAAGATGAAGTTTATTTTAGAGTATTGAAATTAAAAAGCCATTGGTGTTATTAAAATTGTTATTAAGATACCTTATTTTGATCTTTAAGAACTTATGGGCAATAGGGAAAGAGCTAGCCAAGAGAGAGACAAATGTCATCTCATTGTCCATGAGGAGGAAAGGTGAATTCTACCAATCCTTGTTAGAGTATATCCCATCTACCCTCAGTGTTGGTATCACCTGGGAGTTTGTTAGAAATGCTGACTCCTAGAGGTCTCTGAAGGTTTGTTGAATTAGCATCTTCGTTTTAACAAGAACCCAGGTGATTCATATGTACATTAAAGTTCTAGATGACTCCTGTAAATTAATGTTTAAGCTTTAAGTATTGCTGTAAATTACCGTCTTTAAATTTGGTAGCATTTTAAAATAGATTGTTATAAGTTTTTTACACAGCACTGTGGCTCACACTTGGGAGGCTGAGGCAGAAGGATCACTTGTGCTCAGGAGTTCAAGACCAGCCTAGGCAACATAGTGAGACCTCGTCTCCACAAAAAAATAAAAATAAAAACAAGTGTTAAAAATATCTATTTTTTAGTATCTCAGTAAAAGGAGCCATCTTAAGTTTTACATTACTGGAGAATGTCACTAACACTGTTTTAAAAATAGGTCAATTATGTGCCAGGCATGGTTTTAGATATAGTCTATCTTGACTTAAGTAGAGCATTTAAGGTGACTCCATATGATACCTTTGTGGAATAAAGGAGTAAATATGGCTGGGTGATAGTATCTTACATTTGCAGATGTATGAACTACCATATTGAAGAATATTCATTTACAGATTTCTTCTACCGTGTTGCTCCTCCAGCTATTGACTCTCATATTACTTCTGATGATTTTTTAATCATACTTTATTTTAAATATTTAAATTATTCATACAGCATTGTAAACCCATGAGCTCAGAGACAGTATCTACCTTATTAAAAACTATATCCCCAATGCCTTGTACAGTGACTGTTTCTCAATAGGTGCTTAATAAATACTTTGAATGATTAAAATGAATGAATTATTGAAATAGATGTCAGGTTGGGCAGGGATCCCTTGTGGTGTTCTTGTAAGTTCTGTTATTTGACTTGAGCCTAACAATGGTATAAATGACTTGAGTAAAGACATGGAAGAAATACTGTTCATTTGAGAGTACCCGAAAAACTGCGGTAGTAAGATGGTGACTAACTTATAAAATGTTTCTTATGGAGCAATAATAAAACAGAAAAACAACTAAGTTATAGTTTGACGAGGCTAAATGTAATATGTGAATTTTGTTTTGAAAAATCAGCTGTGTTCAGAGAGGCAGGGGACCTGGTTGACAGTAAGTTGCCAATAGTAAAACAAAAGGCTAGTGTGATCTAAGGGTTGTGAAAATTGCAGGTTTTCTCTAGAACAGGGTGAGTTGTAATTCTCTGCATTCTGAGCTAGTTAGAACATTTGGCATTTTATCCAGTTATGGATGGAACTTTGAGGAATGTTGACAAGTTAGAGTGATAATAAGTAGATAGATTTCATGAGGTGTATAATTGCTCTGATCATGATAGGAGACTTTAATTGACTGTAGCCATTTTTCTAAAGAACAGAATGTAGTGAATTGGTATCTCTTTCACTGTTAATTGCTATCTTCTATTACTCTATCAGTTGGAGATTATACTAAAAATGTTGGCTTGCTGACCTGGAGACATTCCTCAACCTTTTTTGTATATTAGTATTTACATATTTACATCTTTGTACTTTTGAGATAATCCATTAAATGACTGATAGTTTTGGGGGAGAAATTTGATATCCAAGGCAATCCTTTTCTTTTTTTTTTTTTTTTTTTGAGTTGGAGTCTCACTCTGTTGCTCGGACTGGAATGCAGTGGCCGCTCCCGGCCACCACAGCCTCGCCTGCTGGGCTCCGGCGATCCTTCTGCCTCATACTTCCAAGTAGCTGGAACTACAGGCGTGCATTACCACGCCTGGCTAATTTTTTATTTATTGTAGAGATGAGGTCTCACCAAGTTGCCCAGGCGGATCTTGAACCCTCAGGCTCAGGCAATCCACTCATCTTGGCCTCTCAGAGTGCTGGGATTACAGGCTGAGCTACCGAGCCCAGCCTTCAAACATATTTTAAAGATTCCCAAATCATTAGAGGTTTGCTAATCTTCAAAGATAATTTCTTTCTTTAAATTTGAGGATAATTCCAAACCTGCTCTTAATATATGCATATACTATTATTACTATTGATTTTTATAGACTCTTTTTCATGTACATGATGCCTTTTTCAATCTGGGCTGTAATGAATAGTTACATTATAGCCAGCAGTTGGTTGAGCTAAATGAGGTATGATAGTAAGCAAAGTAGGCAAACACAGGAACAGTGGATGTGACAAGGTGACTATACACACTAATCTTAAAATCTAGCTATTTCTTGTACTGTTCATAACCTCTGTCAATAATATTTAATTTGGCTACTAGATAAAAATATGGTGTGAAATAACTGTAAAATACTAGAACATTTGATATTTATTACTACTAAATAACTCAGTGGCAACTTGGAATCAAGATGTCATATGGTTAATAATGAATTCTGATAATTTAACATATTATATAAGTTCTTTCAACATTACGCCTATGTCTTTTTCTCTTTTTTTTGAGTTGGAGTCTCACTATGTCACCCAGACTGGAGTGCAGTGGCTGCTCCCGGCCACCGCGGCCTCGACCTGCTGGGCTCTGGCGATCCTTCCGCTTTAGCCTTCCAAGTAGCTGGAACTACACGCAAGTGCTACCATGCCTGGCTAATTTTTTTTGATTTATTGTAGAGATGAGGTCTCGCCAAGTTGCCCAGGCGGGTCTCGAACCCGCGGGCTCAGGCAATCCACTCACCTCAGCCTCCCAAGGTGCGGGATTACAGGCTGAGCCACCGAGCCCAGCTCATGCCTATGTCTTATGTCTATGTGTGTCATTTAAAGTATTCTTAGAAAATAGAATTGGTTTGGAAATAAGCAAACTATTCTGGTACGATTTCAAAACCACATATAAATCTGATTAGAATATATAAATTTATTTTATAGATACAATTTAACACTATATATTGAAATTCAAGTATAATATTTTGAAAAGAACATTAGTTCTGAAGTCACTGCTACATTAAAGATGTAGCTATTTAGGGAACTACCAATTATTGTAAGATTTATAGAATAACTATTCTCATCGATGAAAGGCTTTTATATAGTTGAGTAACTCTGTATGCCTTTTAGCACATCTACTGAAACTGCAGATTAGCACGAAATATGGAAAAAATATACCTTATAGTATATAGTAAGGAAAATAAAATGAGTCTTTAAAACTAATGATTATATCTATAAAAGTTACTTTAAAAATACCATTAAAAACTGTGATTTGTTCAATTTTAGCAGACAGGTGGAGCTATTAAAATGCAGATGTCTTTGTTATGTATTACATGTATCTAACGAACAAACTGATAAAGAATTTTTTTTGATCTTCATTGCAAATGTTTCTGTTAAGTCTTAAATATAATACCAATTAAAAGTAGTTAAACGTGTACTATATAAAATATATGAAAATAATTCTGCAGATTTGTCTGTATCTCTGAAAATTCTGGATGCCTATAGTTAACTTACATAGTTTGACACCATGTTTTTTTTTTTTCTTCCTCATTTCTCATTTGTATTTAGATTTGATCTTTCTAGTTCCAAAGTTATAACAGCTTTGAATTACAGCCAGTTTGTAATAATACCTTTTGCTTCTGGTCATACTTTAATTGTCTACCATTTTTATTGTTTTTTTTTTTTTTTTGGGTTGG